ATAAAACCAATAAACACTTACTATTCTATTACAAATTTTTGTTACTCCCTATTTCAATATACTTTTTAAAATTGAGTTATTTAAATGTGAACAATGCCTGTGCTTGGATCATATTTATCGGTTTAACTACATTAATCACTCACCGTAATATCACCGTTAATCACTCTCCGCCTAAGTGTCGGAGGCAGAAAGTCGAAATTCGTGTTCGGCATTATCATTATTGTAGGCTACTCCTTAAAACTAACATAGGCGTGTAGTACTCGCGGTGCGCGGACCTTTGACCACAGGTGCTTTGACCATAGGTGGTTTGACCGTTGGCGAAGAAATGATTGTACTTAAAAAAAAATCTAGTGCATCACGATTACTCCCATTCCAGATTTATAAATTAGCAAGGAAAGGAAATTAAAATAAGTTGCTTAAATAGTTAGAATTATAACTAGGTTGAACATAATTTAATAAACAAGTTATTAAAAAGTCTAGTGACAATTTAAGCGCAATTTCCTTATGTTATCCATAACAATTTTAAATCAAGATAAATCATATATTCAGCAAATAAATAATGCAACACAAGTAGTTTTAATAATTCAAAACAAAATAGAAAAACTATTTATTAACGAGATTTAAAAAAAAATCCTATCGAACCTCCGCTCATTCGCTATGGTAAAATCCTTTCGAACCTCAGCTTTGCGCTAAAAACCTACACGACGGTCAGTTTATATGTTCTTAATTAATTTTTTGTGACCGAACGAAAGGATATTTTTTAAACTTTCTTTGGCAATATTGGTCTAAATTATGGCAGGAACCGATTGGTAAATGCTTCAAGTCGCAAGGTTGTCTGGTTCCCGAGATATGGAGCAAAAACTGCATTCGTTCGAGGTTTTTTGGCTTTTCCGGGAAATCCAGGAAGGAATTCCGGTAATTTTTTTGGCCCACAATCATCCTTGGAACTTGCTTAACATTTTTGCTTTTGGAACTAGTCCTCGATATTGCTTCGTTGAGGAGGAGATACCACTTAAAGCGGCGGACACACATCCAACCACACCACACGCGTCATCACGTTCAATAGCTGCGCCATCACGTTCAATGGCTGCGTCATCACGTTCAGTAGGCGCGCAATGGTTTTTAGTCATGTAACTCTATTGTAAATAAAACATGTAAAATACTGAAAAAAATTTAATAAAAAAACGTTTTAATAACTAACCATTGGTTTTACTAACCCTGTTCTTGATTTACGCTACGACAGAGCTATTTTTAGATAACATACGGAAATTGCGCTTAAATGTCACTAGACTTTTTAATTAACTTGTTTTTAATGTAATTGCAAGCCAGAAAAGCATTAATGTTTTTATTTCTAAATCCCAATACTGTCGAAATAATTTGCATGTTCGCTGCTGAGTTTTCTGTTTAGACATTAATTGCACTATCGCAAAATTTTTAATAAAAATTTAAAAAATTGAATCTTTTGTGTGTTTGCTTAATAAGTTTATTAACAGAGCGCAAGCACGGTCAAATGCAAGGGGGGGGTGTAGTTTTTTTTTTTTTAAATCTAAATGTGAATACATATCAAATTGTATGCGTAGGTATACACATTGACTCATACATATAATAGTAGAAAGGCTGAGAAAGTGTAAGATACTTTCATTGTTTCTATGTGAAACTGGTCATTGCATAGCGCCTAATGGAAATCGGGAGTTCCGATGAGTGAGTGCAGATGTGTGCTTTATTTGTTTCTACTTTTTTTTTTTTTTTTTTTTTTTTTTTTTTTTTTTTTTTTATTTTTAAAACTCATAAAAGTATTAGTCTGCAACACTCGGTAATGAGCAATATAGTAATAAATATTAACAACAGACATTCGCTATTCTATTATAATATTTAGTTACTCCCTATTTCAATGTACTTTCTTGTTTTCTAAAGCTGAGTTATTTAAATGTAAAACAATGCCTGTGTTTGGATAATATTTATCAAGGCACTGGTTTCCTACACTACCGCCCACTACCATGGCGTGCTGCATTAAAGCCTTAAGTGTAAGTTAATCACTCACCGTAATATTACCGTTAATCACTCACCGCCTAAGTGTCTGGTACGGAAGGTTGCGCTCTCGTGAACCCGATTACATGACCGCAGGGGCGCCGCGTACGGACACTGAATGTCGTATTGTATGGTGCTCCTTAAAACTAAGGTACTTACTTAGTGCTCGCGGGATAACACTGGACGCCAAATTGCACCCTGCAGAGACACATGATTCGATTTAGTGAGCGACTATAGCAACCTATTGTATCCATAGCCTTTGCGCTGTTTAGAATGAACGTATTGTTGCCCATTGTGTCTATAATGTATAGCCTTTTTTTTAAACGAACGTAGGCGCCTTAATGCTCGCAGGTGAGCCCGGGTCGCTTCGGGTTGCGCAATGGACGAGGCACAGGCGGTTGCGCCTGTTTCAGTTTTGTCGCTGAATATAGGAGTTCCTTTACCCGCTAAGGCAGAAACCTCGATTAGTAGATGCCAAGTACTAACATAGACAAAAAATGCACCATCTGGACGCCGCCCATTAGAACTTTTATTTTTTTCCCCCAGAAATCTTCTTGGGAGTATTCTCAATTTTTTTTTTACCGTAATTAATATATAGAGAAAAACGCCCCCTCCAGAGACTTCGACCTTGCGAAATTTAAAAAAGATTTTTTTGCTAAAACCTCCTCTTTGACTCTTCCGTCTCAAAAGTTTGCCGACCCCTGCCTAGGTTTAAAAGCGAAACTTTACTTCAAATTATTTACATGATTTCGAACATCAATAAACCGGGAGTGATCTCCCCTAAACTTTCTCGAATATCTATATATATAATTATCTTCTGGGAGCCGTTAGAAAACAAGCTGCAAGTGCGCGCCTTGCAGTCCCCTCTTTTCCTCTCTATCGCTACCCCCCCCCCCCCCCTCAAATGGTCAGGTGAGTTGTAGTTCACGCTAAATGTTTAGTTTGGTGACGGCTATTAGGGGCAGATAATTCAGTTTGAAACTATTTTAAACTTAGAGGAGGTAACTAAGAGGAGGCTGCTTTCAAGGGGGGGGGGGAGGGGGGAATGGGGGTTTAGTGTTTTAAAGCAAATATTTTCAGTGGCAGCATTGGTACTGTCGAATTCACAAATTATGAATTACTGAAAAGCAGAAAAAACAACTAAATAGCGGCGTATGATACGCCACGGGTCGGCTTGTTCTTATATAAAACAACAGGGGATGGGATCTCGGGCTATAGACATGATTTTTAATCCATTTTAAATACTTAAAATTTTAAAAATAGAATAAAGTCTCATAGACAAAAGAATCGCACACCAAGTGAACGCCAAATAAAAAAGTGCATAATAGTGCGCAATATTATTAGTACTTTAAAAATGTACATTAGTTTTGTGAGAAATCGGAAGTAGCGTAAATTACTACTTCCGGTCAATGGAAATTACCAAAGATTTAACAGAAGGTAGAGAATCAGATCTTTTACTTACATGTGAAATTTCATTTATCTATCTGAAATAGTACTCGAGTTATAGGCTTTTGAAAAATTCAAAGTAGAAAAAGTACCACTTCCGGTTATCGGAAATCGCTCAAAAGTTGATACGGATCTACGATTTTGATACAATTCTTATATATGAAATTTCATCAACCTAGCTGTAACGGTACTCAAGTTATCGTGTTTACACACGGACAGACAGACAGACACACAGACACACAGACATACGGACAGAATTGCAAAGCCCAGTTTTTCAGACTGGATAACGCATAAAACCTCTTAATTTTGATAAATCTTGATTGATAATTTTTGCCCGATTGAAATTCGGATGTGATGAAGGACTGAGGTGTAATACGGTGAAAATTGTTAAAATTTCAAGTGATTTGTGCGCACGATTACAATACTTTCTCTATACTTCGTATATGCGAGAAAGTAATAAACCGGGAGTGATCTCCCCTAAACTTTCTCGAATATTCTAATATAACACTACGTGGGATGTCAACTCGGAATATAGACATGCTTTTTGTTTACTTAAACTTTTAAAAATATAATAAAATCTAGTAGAAAAAAAATTGCGCATCAAGCGAGCACCAAAACCAAATGTGTGTAATAGTGCGCAATATTATTAGTACTTTATAAATTTACTTGCGTTTTTTGAGAAATCCGAAATAGCGTAAATTAGTACTTCCGGTCAACGGAAATTACTCAAAATTTTAAAAAAAGGTAGAGAATTAAATCTTTTAATTACATGTGGAATTTCATTTATCTATCCTAAATAGTACTCACGTTATAGGCTTTTGAAAAATTCAAAGTAGAAAAAGTACCACTTCCTGTAATCGGAAATCGCTCAAAAGTTGATACGGATCTACGATTTTGATAAAATACTTATATTTGAAATTTCATCAACCTAGCTGTAACGGTACTCAAGTTATCGTGTTTACACACGGACAGACAGACACACAGACACACACACACACACACAGACATACGGACAAGATTGCAAAATTATGTTTTTCCGTATCAGTGAGGTGTAAAACGTCGAGATTTGTAAAAATCTCGATTTTTTTTTTTTGCACGATTACAATACTTTCTCTATACTTCGTATATACGAGAAAGTAAAAATGTAAAAAAACGAAAGGTTAAAAAAAATGTTAAAATAAAAAATAAATTAAAATTAAAAAAAAATAAAAATAAAATACTATACAAATAAAATACTATTATGTTGTGTCGCTCCATTTAAAAAAAAATGCTAACATTTATTAATTAAGCATTCAAATTCTCAATGTTTTCGAAAGCCTAAGCTAAGCTGGGCAGAATGCCTAGTATAAATATATTGGGGCTTACACGTTCAATTGTTTTATTGCGAACTGTTTTTTTAAACACTATTATTTTTTTAAGAAAATATTATACATATTTTTAAACTAAATAAAAACACGTAGACAAGTATGTTTAATTTATGTTTGATGTTGTCGTTACATTGGTAGCAATGTGTTTTTTTTGTCCAGCATAAGAAGACAGGCACTCAACTGGAATCTACAGGTGATAAAAGAAAAGAGGCAGACTAAGGAAGATCTTGAGCTTCGATACTTGGGATAAGACATCAAGAAGACTGAATACATCTGAGGAATTTGGAGAGACTAGCCTGGATACACCTGGAGACAGTTGGAGAGGCTAGCCTGGATACATCTGAGGAATTTGGATAGACTAGCCTGGATACACCTGGGGACAGTTGGAGAGACTAGCCTGGATACACCTGGGGACAGTTAGAGAGACTAGCCTGGATACACATGGGGACAGTTGGAGGGATTATCCTGGGCATGTCCAAGGAGATGCGACAGACCTGCCTGTCCTAACAAAACCTGTGTGTCTACTAAGCCGTTCATATGTAGAGTTGTCCTTAAAGCACAAGCATATGGTCGAGTGTCGCTAGTTTCATAATTTAAGTTAGCTGCACATGCCTGTACATCTCTGTCATCGATTTGAAACCCATACATGTATACGATTCCAGTCTGATTATTGTTCTTCATTCAGTTTGAGAATTATTTAGAATGAACATATATTTTTTTTTTCTGTTCGGGACATAAATACAACGAAATCAATCGATATCCTGACAGCTTGGTATAGATACATTGCCGTAGGTACATTTTACACTTTCTGATCTGGCTGAGTCTCAGGTTGTCTGTTGAGATGTGTTTACGTGTCGTTGGTTGCATTGGTTTGACCAGTGGTCTGAGGTCGTGCAGTTCTGATATGTTTGTTTTCAAAATGGGATTGCAACTAGAATGTTTAATGTATCTATGTAGAAACGTTTGGCAAATAGTCTGTGGAATGGCTGGTGGGATGTTTGGGTATAATGTAAACGGAAGTTAAACAACAATGCCACACTTTGATGTGCGACTAAAGCAACCAACACTGTGTCTGTTTAACTTTGAACACATTTTATATTAAATACACGTATAAACCGCTCAGAACTTGAGGTTAACATAACTTGAATGAACATAATATATTTTAGTGTATGTTACATTTTATTCTAGGGTTATAATCATTATAGCAAAATGTATTGTTGTGTTTTCTTTTACAATAAAGATACAATTTACTAATTACATCCCATTCTGCTATTTTTACTTTCTCGTATATACAGAGTATAGAGAAAGTATTACATCACATTCTATGTTTACTGTCTCGTATATACAGAGTAGGCCTATAGAGAGAAAGTATTGTAATCGTGCAAACAAAAAATCGAGGTTTTTGCAAATCTCGACGTTTTATAATAACAATATTCAAGATAATTAAGGGGAGATCACTCCCGGTTTATTTAATAAGGGAAACAAACTTTATAAACTTAATGTAAATGATTTGAAATAGATTAAAACAAAATTAAATCGGACATGTATTGTATTAAAATATTTATTAAATAACATTTTGATAGAAATATCAAAGTTTAGGTGAGTGTATATATTATTTGTGTATTGCTTTTTTATTTTTACCGAGTTCAGAAAACTTTATGGAATTGACTTAAACATTTTAAAGAAATTTGAATAAGTCGGTCACACAATGTTCTCGAATTTCGATTAATGTGTCATCAATCGTAATTTCAAAATGTAAATAAACATAATGGTTTCATTAGATGATAAAATTTAGTAAAAAATGTGTATACTGGTATACATTTGTAAATTTATCTTGATATGTTGTTTTTTTTTAAGAACATTTAGAAAAATGTAAAATATGCGGATGTTGTTGCACTTGTTTTAAATTGCAAATAAAAAAAAAAAGAATTGAAATGGTTAGTTTGTCTTGAAAATAGTCCAACAACTAGAATACATAAGATTCAATTCACCTAGTCAACAATTACGTCCGATAGACCACGTAGCTATTGACGGTATGGTAGAATGCTAGAACATACATGCCAACCTAAACGCCCCCACTTTTAATTCCAAATTAACTTCGTAGAACACATTGAAAAACCCAGCCAGTGAACTCTACTTCAACGTCAGGTACGAACTGAACTTTACTATCCTATGTTAACAAAATATGTCACATAAATGCGAGATGAAAAACAGAAAAGGACTGAACATCCATGTGCTTACAGCCCGTTAACTGAATATCTGTGTGAACACAATTTGTCAACTGAACATCTAAGTGAACACAATCTCTCAACTGAACATGTATTTTAAACAAAAACTCTCATATGCAGAGGCGTAGCGATGGGGGGGCAGGGGGGGGGGACATATGTCCCCGGGCGCCGACCTTAGGGGGCGCCAAAATGGGTTGTAAAAACAAATTAAAATGTCATTTTAGCTGTATTTTTTAAGTTTGATGGGGGGGGGGTGCAAATCGAAAGTTTGAGGGGGGGGGGGGTACAAATTGAAAGTTTGAGGGGGGGGGGGGGGGTGCAGACTGAAAATTTCCTCCAGAGGGGGGCGCCAAATTGAAAGTTTGTCCCCGGGCGCTGGGAAGGGTCGATACGCCTCTGCTCATATGAACTTATATATTACTAACATACAAATGAGGTGTTCATTTTTCGTGTTATGATATTTAGTTCAGTTGATTCTAGTATAAAACAAATATATAAAGGAGTTGTATGTTAAGTAGGTCATGTTATTACAATTATAATAACACAAAACTGGTAAGTCTAGCTATTTTTAGATTTAAACAGATTGAGATGTAAGCTATAAAATCATGCCCATTAAATCAGATAATTAATTAATTAGAGATTAAACAAGATTCTACAAACATGTAGTAATAACAAACATAAAATAAAAAATTAATAAAATAAAAACAAAGAAAACAGATTTTGGCTTCGGTGTTTCACAGGTTTTGTTACACAATAAAATAATGATATATATTCTAAACTGAATGTGCCTGAGTCCCTTTTAATAAACTGGACACAATCTTGGCAAAACACGAATAAACTACTGCAAATAGTAAATTAGAAAATACGCAGGAGCAAACCAATAAAAATTAGTGTGTTCCGTAAATGATTACTTTACATATATTTTACAATGCTAAATAAATAATTCTTAGTTTAATTTTATAAACCATGGAAATCAGTCAATACATCGTTTAAAATCAAACAAAAACAAGAATGTTAAATTATTCGCTCTAGAATATTCTGATTTAATTTCTGAGATAAGGGGAGAGTGTGTGTGTGTGTGTGTGTGTTAGTGAGTGGGGGGGGGGGGGATTGCGGATTATGTATTATCACTATTATGTGACGTTAGAGACAGGTTCATACAGTTTAAAGACACGTTTTAAAGTAAATATGAGAAACTGAGTTTTAACCGTTACCAACTATAACCTGACTGTAATCAATTTCCGTAGTTGGTTGTTAAGGATAATGATGTTAACTTTGTGTTTTCAATTACAAACATCTAAATACATTCATTGTTGTATCTAAAATGTGTAAATATGGCTCTTGTAACAACGGATTACTATCACTCATTCACGTGCACACCCCTCGCTGTATTCAACGCTCTAATAGAATGATCGCAATAAACATGTAATCTCCTTCTGTAATCATTCATTTCATTGACTTGACTTGGGTTAAACAAAAGACATCAAGACAAGAGGTCACGCAATTCTTCGATAACACACCATTAGGACAATCATCAACAACCAACACATACAAGAGGTCATACAAATCTTCTAAGACAAATCATTAGGACAATCATCAGCAACCAACAAATATGAACTAGTGTAGGGCAGATAGTTGGATTTCGTATCAGAGATTGTCGTTGTCCTAACAATACACAACACCACAAACATATAGTGCCCATACAACCTATATTTTATCTAACACAAAGTAAAAAAAAAAGACAGGTCTAAAAAGGGTTCATTACATTTTGTTTAGTTGCTAAAATCCTTTTTTTTTATAATCACAAACTTTGAAAGCCATATATTTGTACTTTACATATTTTAAAGACAGACAATGAAATCAGATTACTCAATGTTTCCACTGATCTTCCTTTTTTTTTTTTATTTTTTTTTTTGTAATTTTTTACTTTCTCCTATATACGAAATGTAGAGAAAGTATTGTAATCGTGCAAAAAAAATCCAGATTTTTAGAAATGTCGACGTTTTACACCTCACTGATATGGAAAAACATAATTTTACAATCTTGTCCGTATGTCTGTGTGTATGTCTCTGTGTGTGTCTGTCTGTCTGTCTGTAAAAAAGATAACTTCAGTACCGTTACAGCTAGGTTGATGAAATTTCAAATATAAGTATTTTATCAAAATCGTAGATCCGTATCAACTTTTGAGCGATTTCCGATTACAGGAAGTGGTACTTTTTCTACTTTGAATTTTTCAAAAGCCTATAACTTGAGTACTATTTAGGATAGATAAATGAAATTCCACATGTAATTAAAAGATTTAATTCTCTACCTTCTGTCAAATTTTGAGTAATTTCAGTTGACCGGAAGTACTAATTTACGCTATTCCCTATTTCTAAAAAAACGCATGTAAATTTATAAGTACTAATAATTTTGAGCACTATTATGCACATTTTGTTGTGGCGTTCGCTTGGTGCGCAATTCCTTTTTCAAGGAGATTCTAATCTATTTTTAAAAGTTTAAGTAATTAAAAAGCATGTCTATATTCCAAGTTATATAAGAATATTCGAGAAAGTTTTGGGGAGATCACTCTCGGTTTATTTCCAATATTGTTCTGAAAGTTTTAGCAGGGGAAGTAAATACGCATTTAACTAACAAAGCAAGTACATAAAATGAATCGGAAAAACAAATAATACACTCATATGCTCTTACATGTATAATAATAAACAATTTATAATATGAAAACGGTAATTGAAATTGATTATTTAATGCCTTTGTTTTATATTTAAACTATCTATGTCAGTGAAATATAAACACCATCACGATGTGTGTTACCTATTTTAAAGAGATGAGATGGAGTCTTATTGATCAATTTTTAATAGCAGCTTCTAGTACAGCCTATTTCCTGCTTTTTTTAAATTATTTAAAACTTACACTTTTTTTTTAAGAGAGAGAAAAAGAAAATCAAATCTTATACCAGGGGTCGGCGACAATTCTTGTTCTCCCGTCCTT